CCTGGAGTGTCAGTTAGAAAGCTCGGTGCTTGCCGGACTCTCCTCGATTCCAGCCTTCCTCGTGGCAGGTTCGACCGGCGTTCTCCGGGCCGCACTTGTCGGAGCCTCCCCGGTTCCAGAGAGTCTTCTCAGCAGCCACCACAAGTTGCGAGAGGGGGACCTCTTCTTATCTCTACTTATCGGGAGATATCCTCTGCCCCGGGGGCTCCAAGGGCTTGGCACCCAGAGGAAAAGGGACAAGAGAAAGGATAAGTGGGGGGAGAGCCCTCCCCTGAGGCCGTGTTGCTCAGGGAGTTTTGCATCACAGCCCACGTGGAAAGTAGTTAGCAGCACCTCAAGGACATGGTCAAGGCTGCTTGGCCGTCCCGTGGGCTTCGGCCGAGCTAGGCGCGGCCTGGACGCTCCGAGGGCCGGGGACACCAGTGTGCTGGGAACAGTGTATCTGCACACCTGTAACTCCTTTGTGGGGCCCACGGGGCGGGGGTCGGGGGGAGATCTGCCCCAGCAGGGAGGGGGTACACGCGGCGCTCTGTGCCGTGCCGTGGTATGGGACAGCGGTCCCGGCGTGCTCCTCCTCGGACTCCCCAGCATCTCACATCAGCAAGTTTGCCAGTGGAAGGAGGGAGCGGTGCCCTCCCCGAGCCGGCCAGAGGGCCCTGATCCTCCAGTGGAAGAGTCTGGGGACTTCTCCCGTTCAGAAAGCCCGTGTGACTCATTTGCGTGGTACTGAGCCGCTTCCCCTCGAGTGTTTATCTTCAAAACCAGAGGACGCAGGGCGTCAGGCTAGTGTTAAACCAGGAGGGATCTTTCCGTCAACAGCACTACGACTTGAACCTCTCGAAGATAGGCTCGTCACCTTCTGCTTTGATAGCCAGGGCCTCAAATTAGTACCTAGGCATAAACCCTATGATGCAAATGGTCTGCAAACGACACAGATGAAATAGGTAAAAACCTCCCTGCCGGTGGCAGACAGGGCAGGACCTACGTCCCCGAAAGAGTAAAGGGTCCCTGACCTTGACACATTGATTCTTTACCCTTCACATTTTGAAGTGGCCTTTCACATGCTCGCGGTAGTAACTAAAGGACAGCTCTGACTATATTCTAAAGTTAATGTATGTATTTTTATATCTTTAATGCCATCTGGAAACGTTTTGGCAGGGACTCTCGGTTATAGTTACTTCCAAAATGAAGTATTACAGTATTTTTATCTTTTATGGATCAAGTGTAAATTTAATTAAGTTTTTTTTTTTTTTTTTTTAAGAAAGCCATGGAGATAAATAATTTTGGAGAAATCGAACAATGTTGTCAGAGCAGGTGGAAGACCCATCTACCCGTTTAAACGTCTATTATGTGTTGGGACGTAGCTTCTAGGGGATTATTTTATGGCAGAGCCCCCGCCCCCCAAGCATTCAATCCTGGCGGCCGCCCGAAGAACTACAACTTATGTTGACATTTGTTTCGTTCTTACGTGCATGTAGCATTCTTTCTGGAAAGTAGCTCTCGGCTGCAGGGGGGCTGAACTGCAGGTGTATCCCGGAGGTGGATGGGAGTTGGGGTCCCGCTTTGGCCCCCTTTTGCTGCCTTTGCTGGGGGGCCCGGCCCTCACATTGCCTTTTTATCCTCACTTGGCAGTTTTTCTTGTTGCTGGGAGACTGCTCTTTCTTTCCCACCCTGACGACCACCCCCTCCCCCGGCCCCCAGCCCCCAGCCGGTGCGGTGTCAGCAGATACTCTGATTTGTGGCTAACAGAGCGGGAGTGGCAGCAAAGAGGCCACAGCTAGCGCAAAGCCCCCTCTGATCAAAGAAAGCAATCCCCCATTTTCCCCCTCGGTTTTCCGCGCTCTGAAAAGGAGGCGACGTGGCTGTCAAATGCGTGTCTCTGCCACTTGCTCACCTGAGCCCCGCACAAGCCACCGAACCTCTCTGTGCTTAAGCTTCCGCTTCCCCGTCCGTGAGATGGGGTGCCCGCTCTCCCTGTTCACAGGGGGGCTGCGGGGGCAAGACAAGCTCACGCGTGTGACTGACACGCGTAAGCCCCTTGCCCGTGTTCGCGACTTTCTCGTTACAAAGGTAAATTGGAACCAGATTCATTTCCTTGGACATCTAATTCTAGCCATAATTTTTAATAAGCTCAGAGTGAATGGCTATTTGAATGAGAGGGTTTAAGGTTAACTACCGATTATGGAAGGCAAGGTCCTGTATTTGGTATGGTCTTTTCCACTTTGTTTGTAACCCTTAGTATCTAATCTTTTAGGTAGGTAATAGACACTTAGTAAATACAATCTTTATGCCTACCACTGTCTTCCCCCCTCCCCCA